GATTTAATGAACTCGCGAGTCAATTCGTTCCCCTCAGTTCACAATTTTTCATTGATAAATTAATTCGCAATTAATAGAAACGTCTGAATGACTGATACAAATAACCCATAGAATGCTGATAATCCAGTTTCATAACGGTTGGAAGATAAATGACGGAGCACACCCGGAATGACACGAGCGACTGAAAGAAATAAAAAAAATCTCAGTATTACATTAGCCACTTTGGTGGGACTAGTTGCTGTCTGGGCAATGCGTTCGGCTTTCCCACGGAGTTGCAATGGCAGTTGGCAATTTCCTCCTGTTTTTCACTCAAAAGTGCGAAATAAATCCAGTGACACGGGGTACGTTGAACTGTGCGGGCACGAAATAACGGATGGAGACAGTTGCATTTAAACGTCATTGGGCTGATTAAATAATCGATTGGATCTAGGCTTTTAGTGGAATTGATAAATTTATGGTTGTGAGTGATAATTGGAGCTCTGATGGAATCTGTGATCAAGTCATGGGAGACGAGGATCATTGACCGATTTAATCTACGTAGACATTCACGGGGGAGGAAAAAACGGTGAAATATGAAATATTTTCGCACATTTAACACATCAAAAGTGAACACCAGTCGGCAATTTAATGGAAATTGATGGAGGACTGGAGCTGCTGACGATTCCATCGATTTACAATTCTCTTTCTTCTAAAAATATTGATGAATTGGTATTTTATTTTTCATTCTCGGCAAAATGCAAGAAACTCGATGAAGTATTTAATGGAAAATGATGAAAGATTGAAGTTCCTGTGGATTCAATCAGTTTACCAATATTTTTTTTCTATATAAACTCCATGGTAATTAGGGGACTGACGTTTAATTCTCAACCGTCAGGCTACCGGCGACACCATTGTCACACAGCAGATGAAGATACGACAGGTCTTGCTGTCCTCCCCTCTAGCCCCTGTCATTCCCGCCAGTATGAGCCTTCATCCGCTCCTCGACAGAGCGCTTTCATCAGAGACACCCGGGTATTAAGAGAAGCTCCTTTGATGTTACCTCTCTTTTTTTTTTCATGATCAGACATCAAACTGTCGTCGAATAACCGCCACAGAAAATCTCAAAACTCCATTGTTGAGATAAATTGCGTAATTTTGTTGAGATTTAAATCACGAGAGATTAATTATCTCGTTTTTTAATGGTGCAGGGAAATTCAAAAGTGTTCATGATATTTTATTCAGTGAAATACCGCGTGATTAAAACTCACTTTATTTTTATTGCAATCAAAGATCTCATTTTTCATTTTTTTTTCATTTTTTTAATTTTTATTAATTCATTTTTACATTTTATGCGCGAGGTGAGAAATACATATTTACAGTGAAATTCAGCAATGCCTCGTTTCTACCGTTATTTTACGCGTGCTGGCTGTGGGCGTTTGGCGGGTGTGAAGAGTTTACACACGAATTACGTCGTCGTAGCATTGATTGCATCGCGTTAATAACGTCGACGCGTGGATTTTAACGATCGTCCTCTTTCCACTTCTCCACTTCACTCTCTCTACCTCGTTTTTTTGTCGCTCGTGTTTGTGTCTCATTTCAGTCTGATTGCAGACGATTTTAACTCGAATGATCCTCTTCAATCGATCCGACTGGAGCCAATGTCACATGTTATCTGGAAATTATTGGAATTTAATTTGGGAAAACTAAGGGGCATCTCCATTTGATGGTTTTTAGTTGTTAATTGATTGAAAACTATTGTCATTTAATGTAATAATTTAGACTATCAATTGATTGAATTGATTCTCCAATATTTTAATTCATTTTAAACAGATATGGATGGAGTTCATTTTTAAAAACATTCTAAATGTGAATGTATCAATTAAAAATATTCAAAATGTTAAAGTAGTCAAATTTCCCACTTCACTCTCTCTTCCTCTTTTTTTCGTTCGCGTCTGTGTCTCATTTCAGTTTGATTGCAGACGATTTTAACTCGTATAATCCGCTTCAATTGATCGGACTGGAGCCAATGTCACATGTTAACTGGAAATTATTAGAATTTAGTGTGGGAAATTCAAGGGTCAGCTCCATTTGATGATTTTCAGTTATCAATTACTCGAAAACTATCTTAATTTCATGTAATAATTCCAAATATTAATTAGATAAATTAAATTTCCAACATTCTAATCATGAACGAATTACCTAAATTTAAACTGTCAAAGTAACCAAGTAATTTCAAAATAACCACTCATCCAGAGTTGTCGGAATAAACTCTGACGACAAGAAAATTGCTAAAGTACCAAAAACGAGAGAAAAAAGTAGTAGCTACATAATCCTCTCCTTTTATTTGCAGTTCTTCATTTTACATTACAATAGTACACGAATCCCCCCTAAGAATTTGTTTTGACCTTCTCCAAGATAGGGAAATAGTAGGAAGAATGAGCTCGGAGAAGCTCCCAGTGGAATTCAATCCTCTTTCCTGATTTGCCTTCTCCACGTGAAATCCCACTCTCCATTTCCCGTTCAAACAGACTCTTTTTTCTATACCTCTTCTGTTCATTCCTCTAGAACGTACTTGTTCAGTACAAGAATGCCATTTTTACTTTTCAATACAAACGACTCTTTGTGCTCCACGTGCACTCACCCCGTCCCTACGTCCGATATTTGTTTGATATCTGGATTTCGATAAAACATCGACTGTTGGATATCAAAAGCCAGGAACAAGAGGAGTTGAATGACATCAACTGTTGGGAGCAGTATTTAGTCGAGAATCCAACAGTTTTGGAGGGGGGGGGGGGGACAAAGGGTATTATCTCCTCAGTTAACTCGTTTTTCAGTCAGGCCAAAATTCATGGCACTCCAGGCCTCGTATCTTTGTGGTCTTTCATGGAAAAGTGGAGTCTCAATTTGGCAGTTAAGGCTCTTGCGCTTCGCTGCTTGTTCTTGACTGTTTACCCTCCCTACCATCCACTACACTTCTCATTCTAACAAGGTCCAACGAATATACCATGCAGTTGCACTCGTGCGCAACGTAATTCTAGAGCACATACCCTCACTCACCCTCAATGTGTTCAACCTGGGTATTTTTTAGTATTAGAGTCAAGTTGATATGCCTCGTTACACGTGTCTGATAATTCTCTGACTATTATCCACACTGAGAATTTTTCTGAAATTTAAATGACGAAAAAATGATTTGAATAAAAAAATTGTTTGGCATTTTTTATATTCATTTCAACAATATTTTTGTTGAAATTGCTTTATCGCGAATTTTAAATCGATTTAAAATCTAATCGTTCGTGGAATTTCGTTGGGTACTCCATGAATTAATTGATTCGATAGTAGCAAGATGCACGACAAATAGGAGTAAAAAATTTTCTCTAAATTTATTTGAAATTAAAGAGACAGCCGCTCTTGGAGAAATCATTTGAATGAAAAAACCTTTTTATTTGAAATTTTTTTTTTCTTCATTTCAACGATAGTTTTATTGAAAAGTAATCAATTGTACATTTCTAATGTTGAAAATTGCAATTTAACTTGAAAACGACTTAAAATCGTTCGTGGAATTTCACTGACTATCCTAGAAATTAATTGATTCGTCCCTTAATTAAATTAAAACTTGCCCGAAAAATTTATTTAAATTGACTAATGAGTTGAAATTATTTCCCGAGAAGAGTGAAGTTAATTGGTGAAATTGAATCGATAGTAGCAAGATCCATGACAATTAGGAGTAAAAAATTGTCCCGAGATTTATTTAAAATTGAAGTGACAGCTGTACTTACATAATTCATTTGAATGAAAAAACCTTTTTATTAAAATTTTTTTCCCTTCATTTCAACAGAATTTTTGTTGAAAAATAATCAATTGTACATTTCTAATGTTAAAAATTGCAATTTAACTTGAGAATGACTTGAAACCGTTCATGGAATTTCACGGACTATCCTAGAAATTAATTGATTCGTTTCTTAATTAAATTAAAACTTGCCCTTAGATTTTTTTCAATTGACTAATGAGTTTGAATTATTTCCCGAGAAGAGTTTGAAGTTAATTGGTGAAATTGTTTTATCAATTTTTTCACGGAAACCTCATGCGACGCTGGCCGTTGAATTTTTAATGTAAACTCGACGTGAAACCCGTCACATTCAGCATTCCCAGATACCAGGTAGGATTGACGTCTAGCCCTTTCGGTTTATCAAGTCATGCATTAAAAATTTCTCACTCCTAGTGGTGCCTTTAGGAACATCCATTTCCACTCGGGGATTAAAAACATTGAGCCAGGAATATGTCAAATTAAATCAGTTTCATTGGGTTATTATCAGTTATCTCCAGTTTCTCGTATTCTACGTGACATTCCACTCTAACGAATTTCTAATTTGATTCAATATTCATCTTCACTTTTCGATTAAATAGTTCTGAAAATGAGAAAAACTATTAGTTTGGGAAATACTAAAATCGATGTCTATTTTTACAATTTGGGATGAACTTTGTGAATTTAAATTCCAATGAAAATTTATGGAGGATGATAAATATAATTTTTTAGCAAATGGAATGATAGAAAATCAAGAATTCATGGTCCATTTCTCATTATTTATGGCGATATAAACAAAATGAATGGGTTATTTGATGTGAAAAATTACGAAACATCAAAAATTTATTGTCTACAAAAAAATGCGTTGTAATTTTACAAGGCGAATTAAACAAAATAAAAAATAAAAATGACAAAATAATCCATCTCTCATTAATCATCAAAATAGAGCTATAAATGTCGAACAGTTTTCCTCGAGTTTTCTTATTCATTTTCCAGATTAGAAAATGAAAGAACTAAATTGAAAATGCAAATTCTCATTGAATTTCGTTTCCCATTTTGCTCTGAATATTTCTCACTATTTTCATCACTTCAAAATAATTTTTTTTCAAGAATACACAAGTCTCCGTCTACTCAACAATTTGGCACAAACTTCATTAATCAAATTCCCATGGAAATTTCCCTCATCTAAAATCCAGTATTTTGATCTCTTGTGTTGTAGTCAGGACCTGTTGACTGTCTGCCGCGAGCTGAACCTCGAGAATTCCGTGGAGGAGTTGATGAGAGAACTTGGTGCAGATGAAACTGGCCGTATATCCTATCAAGAGTTTCTCAGACGTCGTCTGGCATTGAGACCGGAAATCGAGGCACTGAGATCAGGAAAGAGCAGGACCAGTCCTCATCACACCCACACACCTGAGTATCTACCAACCAGCAGCGACAACAGTCTCGGTAAAGCACGGAACATTTTCCACGTTTATTTATTTATTTTTTATCTCTTTCTCTCTCTCTCTCTCTCTCTCTCTCTCTCTCTCTCTCTCTCTCTCTCTCGTCGTTTTGCCTTTTTTTTCATTACCTCAGTTTCTCTTATTGCATCAACGGATCCCAGGAAAATTGACTTCCTACGCCCTTCGGTCTCTGCCTTTTTCTCTCCGTCTAGGGAGAAATGTAATTCCCCCGTGGGTTCGGGAGAGAACGGACTTTGATGAGAAATTTTAAGTTTCGTTTGTTGAATAGTTTTTATTCCAACGAAACCAGAATATTTGGTTCATTTTTCATTCGACTACTATTCAGAAATTTTTCAATTGAATCTTGTAAAAAAATGATGCGTAATCAAGATGTTAATTATATGTTGGCAACTATTCTATAATGAAAAATATGAATTATTTTCATGGAATTGATTCCTTCAAACATTAATATATAAATATATATTTTCAATTGTTCTCTAATCCATATTATTTTATTGATCAAACTTTTGGGAATGAGAAATGACATTTTTAAAAGAGAATTGAATGAAAAAAATTATTAATTATTTTAACAAATTCTCAACATTTGATTTAATTGTTCATTCAAGTGTTCTGCGCATATTTGGAATCTTGAAATTATTCAGTTGAGTCTCATGAGAAACAAACCATCTAAAAATTAAAATTCAACGACAGAAAAATGTTGAAATGTTTGTGATGAATTAAAATCACTCCACATTTCATTTGCCTTCAGGGACAGTTTCTGGGCGTCATGAGAGTTGGGAGTTCGACAGTGGGGCACGTGATTTGTCACCCGAGCCTCACACCCTCCAAAAACTCGTGGAGGCAGCAGCTGGAGGAACTGGAAACATGCTCGACCTCGCCAACAAGGTAAATAATCTTTAAAAAGAACTTTTGCATAACCAAAACAAATATTCCCTCTACCCTCCGAAAATATGAAAAATCACGACTCTGGGTTCTTCGCGGGGGAAAAAATTGTATTCAATCTCGAAACTAATGTTATGCACTGAAAACCCATCACCAACAGTACTTCCCCACTTTAATATCCCCTGCGGAAAGTTATTTTTAATATTTATGTCTAAAGTCGCACAAATAATTCCCATAATTCAGTTGAACCGCGCCCACGTACTCTGGAATTACGATTCTCCTGAGATTTTGTAGCAACTTTGCAATCATTTTTCGAATCTTCTCCGAAAAATACACTTCCTAAATTTTTTTTTCTGATTTTTCAAATATTGGGTCGGGTCTACGATTGAAAGCCCGAGTTGTAGACCCGAGTTTGGCCTTCAATTGAAAGCCCAAGTTGTAGACCCGAGTTTGTAGCAGCAATGTCAGACAAGATATGAATGTTTTTTTGGGCTCAAATGAAAGAGTGGGTCGAGAAATGGCGTGCTAGGGCCTCTAAACAGCTGTGTGAACTTGGAGTCGAAGTTTGATAAATCGACCACTTCCTACACCCTATACCAGATAAATTAAATTAATTTTTTTTCGATTTCGTTTTTCGCGATTATCTCGGAAGCTATGAGAGATAGAGCCTTAAAACCACTTTTGGGTTCCCTATAGGAAGATGGACGGCTCAGAATTAAGTTTTTCCACGTCCTACACCCTATACAAGATAAATTAAATTTTTTTTTTTTGGCGATTTCGTTTTTCGCGATTATCTCGGAAACTATGAGAGATAGAGCCTTAAAACCTATTCCATTCGATTCCTGAGGAAATTTGGGTTCCCTATAGGCAGATGGACGGCTCAGAATTGCGTTTTTCCACTTCCTACACCCTATACAAGATGAATTAAATTAATTTTTTTTGGCATTTTCGTTTTTCGCGATTATCTCGGAAACTATGAGAGATAGAGCCTTAAAACCTATTCCATTCGATTCCTGAGGAAATTTGGGTTCCGTATAGGCAGATGGACGGCTCAGAATTGCGTTTTTCCACTTCCTAGACCCTATACAAGATGAATTAAATTAATTTTTTTTGGCATTTTCGTTTTTCGCGATTATCTCGGAAACTATGAGAGATAGAGCCTTAAAACCTATTCCATTCGATTCCTGAGGAAATTTGGGTTCCGTATAGGCAGATGGACGGCTCAGAATTGCGTTTTTCCACTTCCTACACCCTATACAAGATGAATTAAATTAATTTTTTTTGGCATTTTCGTTTTTCGCGATTATCTCGGAAACTATGAGAGATAGAGCCTTAAAACCTATTCCATTCGATTCCTGAGGAAATTTGGGTTCCGTATAGGCAGATGGACGGCTCAGAATTGCGTTTTTCCACTTCCTACACCCTATACAAGATGAATTAAATTAATTTTTTTTGGCATTTTCGTTTTTCGCGATTATCTCGGAAACTATGAGAGATAGAGCCTTAAAACCTATTCCATTCGATTCCTGAGGAAATTTGGGTTCCGTATAGGCAGATGGACGGCTCAGAATTGCGTTTTTCCACTTCCTACACCCTATACAAGATGAATTAAATTAATTTTTTTTGGCATTTTCGTTTTTCGCGATTATCTCGGAAACTATGAGAGATAGAGCCTTAAAACCTATTCCATTCGATTCCTGAGGAAATTTGGGTTCCGTATAGGCAGATGGACGGCTCAGAATTGCGTTTTTCCACTTCCTACACCCTATACAAGATGAATTAAATTAATTTTTTTTGGCATTTTCGTTTTTCGCGATTATCTCGGAAACTATGAGAGATAGAGCCTTAAAACCTATTCCATTCGATTCCTGAGGAAATTTGGGTTCCGTATAGGCAGATGGACGGCTCAGAATTGCGTTTTTCCACTTCCTACACCCTATACAAGATGAATTAAATTAATTTTTTTTGGCATTTTCGTTTTTCGCGATTATCTCGGAAACTATGAGAGATAGAGCCTTAAAACCTATTCCATTCGATTCCTGAGGAAATTTGGGTTCCGTATAGGCAGATGGACGGCTCAGAATTGCGTTTTTCCACTTCCTACACCCTATACAAGATGAATTAAATTAATTTTTTTTGGCATTTTCGTTTTTCGCGATTATCTCGGAAACTATGAGAGATAGAGCCTTAAAACCTATTCCATTCGATTCCTGAGGAAATTTGGGTTCCGTATAGGCAGATGGACGGCTCAGAATTGCGTTTTTCCACTTCCTACACCCTATACAAGATGAATTAAATTAATTTTTTTTGGCATTTTCGTTTTTCGCGATTATCTCGGAAACTATGAGAGATAGAGCCTTAAAACCTATTCCATTCGATTCCTGAGGAAATTTGGGTTCCGTATAGGCAGATGGACGGCTCAGAATTGCGTTTTTCCACTTCCTACACCCTATACAAGATGAATTAAATTAATTTTTTTTGGCATTTTCGTTTTTCGCGATTATCTCGGAAACTATGAGAGATAGAGCCTTAAAACCTATTCCATTCGATTCCTGAGGAAATTTGGGTTCCGTATAGGCAGATGGACGGCTCAGAATTGCGTTTTTCCACTTCCTACACCCTATACAAGATGAATTAAATTAATTTTTTTTGGCATTTTCGTTTTTCGCGATTATCTCGGAAACTATGAGAGATAGAGCCTTAAAACCTATTCCATTCGATTCCTGAGGAAATTTGGGTTCCGTATAGGCAGATGGACGGCTCAGAATTGCGTTTTTCCACTTCCTACACCCTATACAAGATGAATTAAATTAATTTTTTTTGGCATTTTCGTTTTTCGCGATTATCTCGGAAACTATGAGAGATAGAGCCTTAAAACCTATTCCATTCGATTCCTGAGGAAATTTGGGTTCCGTATAGGCAGATGGACGGCTCAGAATTGCGTTTTTCCACTTCCTACACCCTATACAAGATGAATTAAATTAATTTTTTTTGGCATTTTCGTTTTTCGCGATTATCTCGGAAACTATGAGAGATAGAGCCTTAAAACCTATTCCATTCGATTCCTGAGGAAATTTGGGTTCCGTATAGGCAGATGGACGGCTCAGAATTGCGTTTTTCCACTTCCTACACCCTATACAAGATGAATTAAATTAATTTTTTTTGGCATTTTCGTTTTTCGCGATTATCTCGGAAACTATGAGAGATAGAGCCTTAAAACCTATTCCATTCGATTCCTGAGGAAATTTGGGTTCCGTATAGGCAGATGGACGGCTCAGAATTGCGTTTTTCCACTTCCTACACCCTATACAAGATGAATTAAATTAATTTTTTTTGGCATTTTCGTTTTTCGCGATTATCTCGGAAACTATGAGAGATAGAGCCTTAAAACCTATTCCATTCGATTCCTGAGGAAATTTGGGTTCCGTATAGGCAGATGGACGGCTCAGAATTGCGTTTTTCCACTTCCTACACCCTATACAAGATGAATTAAATTAATTTTTTTTGGCATTTTCGTTTTTCGCGATTATCTCGGAAACTATGAGAGATAGAGCCTTAAAACCTATTCCATTCGATTCCTGAGGAAATTTGGGTTCCGTATAGGCAGATGGACGGCTCAGAATTGCGTTTTTCCACTTCCTACACCCTATACAAGATGAATTAAATTAATTTTTTTTGGCATTTTCGTTTTTCGCGATTATCTCGGAAACTATGAGAGATAGAGCCTTAAAACCTATTCCATTCGATTCCTGAGGAAATTTGGGTTCCGTATAGGCAGATGGACGGCTCAGAATTGCGTTTTTCCACTTCCTACACCCTATACAAGATGAATTAAATTAATTTTTTTTGGCATTTTCGTTTTTCGCGATTATCTCGGAAACTATGAGAGATAGAGCCTTAAAACCTATTCCATTCGATTCCTGAGGAAATTTGGGTTCCGTATAGGCAGATGGACGGCTCAGAATTGCGTTTTTCCACTTCCTACACCCTATACAAGATGAATTAAATTAATTTTTTTTGGCATTTTCGTTTTTCGCGATTATCTCGGAAACTATGAGAGATAGAGCCTTAAAACCTATTCCATTCGATTCCTGAGGAAATTTGGGTTCCGTATAGGCAGATGGACGGCTCAGAATTGCGTTTTTCCACTTCCTACACCCTATACAAGATGAATTAAATTAATTTTTTTTGGCATTTTCGTTTTTCGCGATTATCTCGGAAACTATGAGAGATAGAGCCTTAAAACCTATTCCATTCGATTCCTGAGGAAATTTGGGTTCCGTATAGGCAGATGGACGGCTCAGAATTGCGTTTTTCCACTTCCTACACCCTATACAAGATGAATTAAATTAATTTTTTTTGGCATTTTCGTTTTTCGCGATTATCTCGGAAACTATGAGAGATAGAGCCTTAAAACCTATTCCATTCGATTCCTGAGGAAATTTGGGTTCCGTATAGGCAGATGGACGGCTCAGAATTGCGTTTTTCCACTTCCTACACCCTATACAAGATGAATTAAATTAATTTTTTTTGGCAATTTCGTTTTTCGCGATTATCTCGGAAACTATTAGAGATAGAGCCTTAAAACCAAATTCGGGTCCCCTATAGGCAAGTGGCTGGCTCAGAATTACGTTTTTCCACTTCCTACACCCTCTACAAGATGAATTAAATTATTATTTTTTGGGCATTTCGTTTTTCGCGATTATCTCGGAAACTATTAGAGATAGAGCCTTAAAACCAACGCCATTCGATTCCTGAGGAAATTTGGGTTCCCTAAAGGCAGATGGACGGCTCAGAATTGCGTTTTTCCACTTCCTACACGATTTACCACATAAATTAAATTATTATTTTCTGGGCATTTCGTTTTTCGCGATTATCTCGGAAACTATTAGAGATAGAGCCTTAAAACCAACGCCATTCGATTCCTGAGGAAATTTGGGTTCCCTAAAGGCAGATGGACGGCTCAGAATTGCGTTTTTCCACTTCCTACACGATTTACCACA